TTACATCGGGCATGATTTGTCTTATTTGGAAATGCCCATAAAACGTTTTGAAGCTTTACTGGGGCCTTCAATATTGTAACCTTGATCAAACAACTTTTTTAAGTCGCATGACGCTCTTTGTGATCTTCGTAGAACGATCGTGATCGACTGTACTCAAACATTATTAAATGTCGACACCAAAGGCTGGAGCTGCTGGAATTTAGGGAAAGTTGACTATTGGAAAGTTGAAGTCATCCCACTTGTCATACAGTCTTATTGAAAGGGTTTGTCACTCTGAATCTTTTTTCATAGATCTAAATATGAAACAGATGGGGCGGTCACACTTTATTTCTAATTCAGGTGGGTAAAGAGACACTTTTTTGTAAACCCATATTTTGGAGCAAGTGGATGTACACAGGGAACAACCTAGTTGGTAGGAAGCCATTGTCAGTGACTGTTTCTGATGGATTACACTGACGGGTGCCTTCCTTTGAAATATAACACCACACACATATTCAGTAAATCACGTCATCGTTGTAACTAAACAGATACAGTCAGTTGCCATTGGTAAGGGTGTGCAGTTTAAGTGTTTAAATTAGCAGTCAGACATTTTAAGTGAGTGAGTGAGTTAAAATTTTCCTTCACCTCGGCATTATTTCAGCCATATCGTGACGAGAAAAAGTACTATATTCAAAATACATATATTTAGACCATCAAAACCTGTCTTCGAAGGACAGTAAAATAACTAGATTTATCACATATTTTATTTAAAAGTAGCTGATAATCATTTAAATATAACTTCATACGTAACAATACAAGATAAAAATGAGCTATAGATCGCCAGCCACTGAAGGTAGAGCACCACACTGGAGTCGATGGGGACTTACAGTACCTTTGCTACCTGCATGGATCCCAGCAGGATTTACACCATCCTGTCAGTCGCCGGCGATTGTAATGTAAGATTAGCCACAATTAAAATGACAAAAATTCTACGGCACTTGAAACGTCGGAGTGGATTGGGGACATACACCTCCACTCCGATGTTGAGATAACCAGCTTTGATTGACTTAGCTATAGGAAGGGCCGAAAGAGCAAAGGTAAGCAAATAAGTGTTTGACGGGATGATGTCACCGTCTCTCGATTTCATAGTAAAACGCTTAACTGCTGTTACCCCTTAAGTTGTCAGTTCATCAGTAATTTCCTGCTCTGACATGTCGGACAGGCAGCGAGCTCTGTCTCGAACAATGCCTCGGCAAGAATTCAAGGTTTTCTGGACGGACACAGCAACCTCAATATTTGCGAATGTAGTTACAGACAAAAGATTCAGAGATTGCTGTCTCCGTGAACACTCAACGAGAAGAGAGCCACTGCGAAGACGTGTAACATTGTTCACTTCTCCGCAAATTCCTAAAACAGCTTTGGAAATGGCGAATGGATTAAGCTTAATAGGTTGTTTGTACGGAAGCCTTTTAGGGCCATTTGTTTTTTTAAATTTTTTCGATACTATCTTGAAATTTCAAGATACTAAGTTGAAATTTCAAGATACTAAGTTGAAATTTCAAGATACTAAGTTGATATTTCAAGATTATTCACTTCAAACGTATTTTTACATCTTAGGATGTTAAAAAGTTATTATCTTGAAATTTCAACTTAGTATCTTGAAATTTCAACTTCTCTATCTTGAAATTTCAACTTAGTATCTTGAAATTTCAACTTCTCTATCTTGAAATTTCAACTTCTCTTACTTGAAATTTCAACTTAGTATCTTGAAATTTCAACTTCTCTATCTTGAAATTTCAACTTTGTATCTTGAAATTTCAACTTAATATCTTGAAATTTCAAGATTCTATCTTGAAATTTCAACTTAGTATCTTGAAATTTCAAGATAGTATCGAAAAAAATACAAAAACAAATGGCCCTAAAAGGCTTCCGTATGTTTGTCAGCTGCCTCAATCACAATAAAACGGGACCAGGAATCTAAGCCACGAGATAATTGTTCACTTTGATCAATGTCATCAAGATCGACATGTCTTCGTTTTGAACGGGTTGAACCAGGGTTTTGGTGTGACATGGTGAAATATAGTAATTCAGCACCCCTGCTCCCCACCCACCATTGAGAGCTACAAAGAGCGATGTTTTGTTGCACCGGAACTCCAACATGCAAACACCAGGGATACAGGGATGATATACTCCAGCAAGTATGACGCAAATAGCAATATTTGTATACCAAATTAAATGCCAGGCTGGTTCGGCCCATGACAAGTAATCGGATACATACTGAATTTGGAGGTCAACATCACCAGATTGGCCCATGAGCCACCGCCTTCTGGCATAAGACTCTAGGCAAACTTTTACATAATAATTTGGGAAGTCAAACATGTAATACATGACCAAGACCAAATAATACATTTATAAAAATCACATTTGTGCAAACACAATATTATGCACAGGGCCTGGCATGACCAGCCGATTGATAAGACCGGGCCCATCCTACCACCCGTCTAGGTGAAGTCAGGGTCAAAGTGGTGTGTTGGGCAAAAGGAACACTGGTTCCTGGCTCCCGTCCCTCAACCACCAGAATCCCTTCCTCCACCGACACAGGGAAGCAACCCACGGCAAACAGGTTGCCCAATTCGGTCGCCTTTTACGACCAGCAATGGGGTGCTGTGGACAAATTCTACCCCGAGTCCACACGGGGGAAGAGCTATTAGCGCTACCCAGCACTCACCACGAGGAGGTTGCTCTTCACGAGTGCCCAGACATTTTGAAAGTAGACACAAAGTGGTGCGTTACCGTACATGCAAATGGTGGTAAAGTTTGGGTTGAAAATAAAGTTTTGAAAATTTTGAATAATCGTAGGGCCATTGACCGAATAAACACAAATCTTAGAATAGAGAAAACGGTTTTCGAACTTATTTCGGGTAATGCCTGTAGGTCTTAAACACATTGTTGAACTTATACCACTGCTCTGTAAAATAGTCATAAGTGTATATTTGATTCCAGTTAGCTCTACTTTGTTGTAACACATGAAACATATGCTTGATAATATTTAATACCATGAACTGGTGAACCCCAAAGCGTCACTATTATTCAGAACCCTCGCCCTCACGACTGGCACACGTTTCTGTACATTTGTTGTCTATTTTTCACATTCTTATTTATAACATCCTAATCCTCTGTCCGTTAAACCATATAATGAGGACATCGTACTCCACATGGGAATCCGTTATGCTCCCCTTCTTGCGGATCTGTTTCTATGCATATGAATCGGAATTTCTGTTCGGATAGGGGAAGTCAAAACAAGGCAATTTGGCCAAGAAGCTTATGTTAAGCTTCAAGAATATCGATAATCTGATATCATTCAATAACAATCAAATATTCAAATTCCCTTCTACTGGTTTACCAACCAGAACTGGAAATAAAGGAGACCAAGTGAGACCGCCTCATCTGTTCCATAGTTATCTCAATGCATAAAGATTCAGAGTGTCAAAACACTCTCCACGAGGCTGTATGACAAGAGGGATGACTCTGCCCTTTCCAATGGTCAAATTTCCCTTCTTGTCGAGCAATATTCTAGCAGCTCCAACCTCTGGGGGTTACATTTCACAACTTTTGAGACACAATCGAGCATGCTCTTTCTACCAAGATTCATACGACTCAGTAGTTGTTTGATCAAGGTTACAACATTCATTGCCCCAGTAAAGCTTTCAAAATGTTTTATTGTGGACATGTGAAGGAAACTTCCAAATTTGACAAAACTGATGTTCGATGCAATTCCCTATTTTGACCTGTACCGTATGTTCCCGTGTTTTTCAGGTGAACAATTGACTTGCCTTTGCATGTGTGTGTGTGATGGGTGCCACCGGTGGGGCAGGGTTCGCTCACCTTTTTCGCGAACACCTGGTATCATTACTGTTTGATAGTGATTCATAATTATGAAACGCGTGCTCATGATATAGTCGGCATCGCACAACCGACTCTGCTTTATGCAGAGATTTCTACTGGATATGTTTTGTCGCTTTGGGTGGGAATTAACTATAAGATTGTATTATCCACAACACATCAGTGTTCTAGTGAGCGAGTTAACATTTAACGTCACATCAGCGGTATCTCAGACACATTTTCTAATTTACCAGTCATGGTCTGAATACACTGACACAAGCAAATCATAGTGGCTGTATTGTTTTGTGGCCAGCACATATTCGAGTCTGGACCAGTCGACCCAGTGATTGATATCATGAGCCATGATCCAGGCCGTTGGGTTATGATGACAAAAAATCAAAACCACGTCAGCTGACCACCGATCCATTTAGCCGCCTCGTTTTTGGCGACACACTCTAACTCCGAATTGATATTAACACGGGAGAGATTACCATAGAAGGTTTCTATGAACCTAGAAGGGACGTTGTCTCGCTGTCGCATGCATGTTTGCCCTTCGGTTAATTATGATACTGTTTGCTTGTATGTGTAAGGGCCACAACGTGACAATGTCCCTCTAGGATTCCATACGTTTATGTTGAAAACAAATTCATAAATGTCATTCGAATAGGTCTGTTCATTGCAATGAATACTATTCTTGCTACATGTTCATTTCCTGTACCAAATTTGAAAATCGTGTCATTCGTCACGTCGACAGGAATGTTGCATCTATTTTATATTGCATTTGATGTCAGAAGAGAATCAATTAATACATTTAGTCACTCTGCTAACCAGGCGGGGCCATATGCCATTGAAGCATACATGTACGTTATTTGTAATGTAAGTGTAACTTCCAACCAAATGTTCAAAACAGTAATTGCTCAACAATAACTCTAACACCTAAGTAAGGTAGTATCTCAAAATAAGATAAATATAGCAGGACAATGTATTTCCGAGGTGTCAGTGATACAGAAACGTTTTATGGCGAATCAGCTTCAAGCAGGTTTTAAAAAACCCAAAAAAAACCCAATTAAACACATTAAAGTCTTTCCTGTCTTCACTCTCGTCATGAATGTAGACGATAACAAATTGACAATATTCAGTTTTCGCAGCGTCTCAAATGACGTTCAACGAAACAAATGACGTCACAAAAGTTTCGACATGAACTAGAATCTCCGCTTGGTCGGTCCTCGACGTCTCCGTCTGATGTAGACAAACACGACGACAGCAACGACAATCAGGAACGCCCCTCCACCGACACTTGCGCCAACTTTAATACTCAGACTGGACGCTGTAAAAAAGCGACAAAACCATAGCTTTTTGGTATTTCTCCCCTTAACTCAAATCTCACCGCCGAAGTAGAGTTTTTACCAGGAACAACGAGGTGATTGGCGCCGTCGGAACTTTTATCTGGTTCGGTTCGGAAATCTCTATTGGGCCGGCATAACTAAGCTGGACACAGTGTTGTGAAGTCAAAGGAGATGGTTTTGAAACCAGTTGAGTGTATAATTTGGATTCTGAACGATTTAGCCCCGTACGTGTCAATACATACGTGAATTGTAGGATCGGAAAAGATCAGCTGTATACACAAGTCTGAAGCCCTTGTCGTTGTTGACGCCATTGGATTGGAACTTCACTGTCATATAGCGGCCAGAGCTTTGATACCGTGGAGCCTGAGTCCCACAAAACCACCCCAGTGATGAAGATAAAGTACTTCCACCTAGAACAACAGTGGGTGAGTTGGGTTAACTTCCTCTGTGATTAGTTTTTCTGTTATATCACGGATACTTACTATCAGTGAAACAAGAAAGCAGAGATATGATTTTGACAAACCAAGGATCACAATCAGGGTATATCTGGAATATTAATATTTTATAATGTTGGATCCTGTTATTGCTAAGGGACGAAACTCCATTTCGGCGCATTTGACATTTCAGCCATCCATGCACCTGGCACAATGTGTATTTGTAAATAGGGAGGAACTGAAATTGTTGTTTTGGAAGGAACGACTATCGAATATACGAAATAAGTATGTAATTAACGTTCACGTCGTTGTTTTCGAAGGACCGAATATCGAATATACGAAATAAGTATGTAATTAACGTTTACGTCGTTGTTTTTGAAGGAACGAATATCGAATACACGAAATAAGTATGTAATTAACGTTCACGTCGTTGTTTTCGAAGGACCGAATATCGAATATACGAAATAAGTATGTAATTAACGTTTACGTTGTTGTTTTTGAAGGAACGAATATCGAATACACGAAATTAGTATGTAATTAACGTTTACGTAGTTGTTTTGTTCTACTGCTATGTCCCGCTTACCATCGTAGACTTGCACATAGTCGTTGAAGCAACCAGAGCTGTATTCCAAGGAGGACTCGGCCACGGTGAGTGACACAATATAAGATGAGCTGGATGTGCGGATTGTCCATACACACTCCGTATTGCTACAGAACAAAATGAATGAACAGGTAGGCGAACACGGATTAAATACGACGAAAGACACAACAAATTGAATTCACCCGAAGTAGTGAATCGAACAAGGATCAGGGCTTGATATATGCTTTAATCCGATGACTGCCATGCTTCCTGTCCATATGACATTATCATCAAGTGAACCTTACATTACAATGGCGCAATATTTTCAATTAAGTTTTGGACGTTTGTAACTGATAATATATGTCCAACATGATGATTGTTTGAGCCGAAACGATAACTGCGTTGATGTACATGGGTATACTGCTATGTTTACCTCGGGTAATGAAACGGATATCCTGGTGACTTGAGGTTATTAAAGCCAGTGAATGGAGCGACAAGGTCCGTTTCACCACAAACTGAAATATCATACACATGCAATGTCATTCGGGGTCGTCCAACTGACGGTTATTGCGTAACATAAATAGGACATAATGAGTTCTCAACGTTTCTATTATACATATGATAATTAAAACAGTTACGCCTGTTATTATCATAATAATTATAAATATACTGTAGGTTGTTTTATTGTACTGTTTTAAACGTCATCGGTAAGATGACACATAAATGATCAACTGGTCGCGAGTAAAATGAAATTTAGTACCAGTCAAGTCACATCACGGCGGGGTATATAATAAAAGAATTCTACCTATGTGTAGAACACATAGCCTGAGTGTTACGATCTAAAGTTTTATGTTTGTTTGTTATTAAACGCCGCACTGATATTCCAGCTATAGTATGGCAGTCGTTAAATAATCGTGTCTATACCAGATAATCCAGTGATTGACATCATGAGCATCGATCTACGCAATTGGGATACGATGACATCCATCAACGATCCCGTTAGTCGCCTCTTACACTCTTTAAGAATTGTTTACCTTAATGATAGAGGTATTGAGGAGAATCATCACGTATTAGTGATTTATAAATGACGATTTTAAAACAAATTCATGAACGTCATCCAGGAAATGTCGTCACTGAGATGCATGAAAAATATAACGGTCTGGTTCCGGTGAAGTAAACATATACTAATTTACAAATACGAAGAATGTAAGACGAAAATCAATTGTTACAGTACTAATACTAACTCTAACACAACCAGTCTTCACCCGTGAAGATCCAGGGTAGAATAGGTCATCAGCAATCCATGCTTGCCGTAAGAGGCGACTATACTTGTCGTCAGGGGCGACTAACGGGATCGGGTGGTCAGGCTCGCTGACTTGCTTGATGCATGTCATCGATCCCAATTGCGTGGATCGATGCTCATGATGTCAATCACTGGATTGTCTGGACTAGACTCGATTATTTATAGACCGCCGTCATGTAGCTGGAATATTGCTGAGTGCGGCGTTTAACAACAAACAAACAAACAAACAAACAAACAAACAAACAAACAAAACAACCTGTCTTACCGGAAAAATTCCCTGCAATATATGCCATTTTAAAGCCACCATAAGCAGCGGAACCATCGGTGTGAAAATGGATGAACACATTGGGACCAGAACTGGTAAAAGAAGGTGTGGCCGTGGAACAGACTTTTCCCAACATCTGTGCAGAGGTCGACGAACCTGTAGAATGACATTCATGATCCACATTCATAATAGTCGATTGTACGGCTCCGACTTCATCATGAGCACGTGTTTATGAATCACTAACAAATGATGACGATACAAGGTGTTTGCGTAAAGATGAGCGTATCCTGCCCCACCGGTGGCACCCGTCACAAACGCATGCAAACGCAAGTCAATTGTTCACATATAAAAACACGGGAACATTCTCTTTCAGTCAAAATAGAGATTTGCATAATTTTTGTCACCGACAGACAACATATTTTATTAACCTACACTTGAATTTAACTATTGCATAAGCGTATTTATATGACAATCATATGACCAAGAAGCTTAAATGACCGTTGTAGACGGGTGAAAATGGATCAGTTACTATATTCACCGGTATACAGAGTAAGTGAGTAAGTATTGTTTTACGCCGCTTTTAGCAATATTCCAGCAATATCAAGGCGGGGGACACCGGAAATTGGCTTCACACATTGTACCCATGTTGGGAATCGAACCCAGGTCTTTGGCTTGACGAGCGAACACTTTAGCAACTAGGCTATCCCACCGCCCCCTTTATACAGAAGTGTTCAACATATAGATATTTGATTATAATATATAACGTCACGGCAGGGAATTACCAGTCTCGATAATCTCACGAAACATTTGGCGTTAAAGGCAAAATAGCTGTGAAAATGAATAGATCACTGAAAATCAGTTATTAAAACAAGGTGTTCGCGAAAAGGGTAAGCATATCCTGCCCTACCGGTAGTACGTCATCAGCTACGATCCATAAGCGTTATATAGTAGTACTAGATGTGCGTAAATGAATGTCGCCTTACGCTTCATGTACCTGTACTACACTACACTTGTACTATTGTAAGGATTTGGTCGGACAAAATGAGGTGAGTGAGTGAGTGAGTGAGTGAGTGAGTGAGGTAAGATTTAACGTCACATCGGCAGTATTTCAGCCATATCGTGACGAGAAGTACATTAATAATACACATAATTATACGAAATAAAAACCTGTCGACGAAGGACAGTAGAATAACTAGAATATCACAGACTTGATTTAAAACTAGTTGTGAATAATAAAAACAGTAAGCAGTAATGAACATCACAATATAAAAATGGGCTAGAAATCGTCAGCCACTGAAAGGAGATCACCATACTGGGGACCATGGGGACTTACAGTACCTTAGCTTCCTGCACGGACCCCGGCAGGATTTATATCATCCCTTCAGTCACTGACGACAGTGTATCAGTTAAGCCTTAGATTAAAATAACGAATATACTACGTTTAAAAGCCTGGTATGCAGAAAAATACCTGGAATGAAATGGGACTTACATACCCTCTTAGGGGGACAATAATTTTACGCTACTTCAACCCCCCTCGAGGGTATAGCCACTAACAATCTAAGTTATTAAATTGCACTACCAATTTTAAAAACAATACAGTTAGCACATCAAAATTTATGAAAAAGCTCTATTTCTTTTAAAAAACATAACAGTAAACGAGAATTAACATCATTAAAAAGGTCCTTAATTGTTTTAACATTGAAATATTTATCCCTTGTGATGGAAAAATCAATACAATCAAGCAGGACATGCTTGACTGTGATTCTTTCATCACAAGGGATGCAAAACGGAGGATCCTCACCTTTTAAAAGATACTCATGTGTATATCTTGAATGGCCAATACGACATCGTCGCATAATGACCTCTTCAAATCTGGACTGACAGCCCAAGTAGGTGTAACCGATATTTGGTTTAATTTCATGTAATTTATTGATACCTACTTGGGCGTCCCACTTCTGTTGCATAAGATCTCGGATGTAAGATCGAATCATGGGTTTAAAATCAGTGTATGGGATCAGAAGTGGTGTCACAGATTTGTTGAGGGCTGCTTTTGCAGCAGCATCGGCCATTGTGTTACCTTTGATACCAACATGGCTTGGTAACCAACAAAAGACGATGTCATATTGGCCAGTAGCAAGATCATTAAATAATTCGAGAATTTCGATTAAAAGTGGATGTTTTGATGACATATTTTTAATCGCCTGAAGGCATGAAAGAGAATCTGAAAACAGTATGAATTGTTTATATTTAGCTTGATTACTGATATATTTAAGTGCTGTAAAAATGGCGTTTGCTTCTGCAGTGAAGATGGAACTGTTATCAGGTAAACGTGAAGATATTGTTCTGGATCCAATGACGGTGGCACTAGCAACTGCGCCACCATCCTTGGATCCATCTGTAAAGATAGATTTATAAGTGTCATAATTGGTTCTTAATTGACTGTATTCTTGTTGGTAAATTAATTCGTTAGTGTCTGATTTCTTTAGTTTTGTTAATGTAAGGTCAACCTCTGGCCGTACCATTTGCCAAGGAGGTGTTGAAAACAGTTGAGTTGGAGCTATATCTTGCAGTTTAATATTGGAAGCAAACAAGGCAGACTGGATTCTGATTCCGAGTGGTGGAACAAGAGATGACTTTTTATTGTAAATATCTTGGTAAAGAGGATTGAAGACGCAATTAAAAGCTGGATTGGACTGATTAGAATATAATTTAGTGACATATTGTAAAGATAATTTTAGACGGCGTTGTTTAAGAGAAGGTTCATCCGCTTCTACATATAGACTGTGAATTGGAGACGTCCTGAAGGCACCAAGGCAAAGCCTCAGGCCCTGATGATGTATCGTATCAAGTTTTTTTAAATTGCTTTTACAGGCTCCACCATAGACGATGGAGCCATAATCAAGTTTTGAACGGATGAGTGACCTGTATAAGTGTAAGAGGGTTGTTTGATCCCCTCCCCACTTTGAATTAGAAACAACTTTCAATAGATCGAGTGCCTTCAGGCATTTAGCTTTTAGGTATTTAATATGCGGGAGGAAAGTTAAGTGATGATCAAAAATAAGTCCCAAGAACTTGGCTTCCTTAACAACTTTGATAGGGGTGCCATTCAGAAATAGTTCAGGGTCCATATGCGGTTTATATTGTCGGCAGAAATGTATGCAATTAGTTTTTGATTTGGAAAATTTAAACCCGTTTTCTAGACACCACTTGTTAATTTTATTAAGACATAATTGTAATTGCCTTTCTATTGTACGCATATTTTTACCACGACAAGATAGATTAAAATCATCCACAAAAAGTGATCCATCAACTGAATCATTTAAAACTTTGGACAAACTGTTAATTTTTATACTGAATAAAGTGACAGACAAAATACTGCCTTGTGGGACACCCTGATCCTGATTATAATGATCAGACAGGGTTGTACCCACTCGAACTTGAAATTGCCTGTCTGTTAAAAACTGTGATATGAAATGAGGCAAACGGCCTCTTAATCCAAAATCATGAAGATCTTTTAAAATACCATGTTTCCATGTTGTATCGTATGCTTTTTCTAAATCGAAAAAGATCGATACAGCATGTTGTCTATTTACAATAGAATTTTTAATAAACGATTCTAAACGCACTAAATGATCGATAGTACTTCTGTTTTTCCGGAAACCGCATTGTATATTGGTAAGAAGATTATTTGTTTCCAAGTACCACACTAATCGATTATTTACCATGCGTTCCATCGTTTTACAAACACAGCTAGTTAGAGAGATAGGTCGGTAATTTGAAGGATCATTATGATCCCGCCCAGGTTTTGGTATTGGTATAACAATGGCATTATGCCATGAAGGTGGAAACGTCCCTGATGTCCAAATGTCATCGAAAATAGTCAACAAAGTTTCAAGGCATGATTCGGGCAAGTGTTTCAGTAGCTGATAATGAATATTATCAGCGCCTGCTGCTGTATCATGAGCTTGCCCTAGGGCAGTATAAAGCTCATGTAGTGAAAATACCTCATTGTAATCTTCACCATTATCAGATGTAAAACTTACTTTTTTCTTTTCCTGTTGGAGCTGATATTTTTGAAATTCGGGAACGTAATTAGATGAAGACGAATGTTGAGATAATGTTTTCCCAAGTCTATTGGCAATAGCAGTTTTATCAGTTAGTAAAGTATCGCCATCCTTCAGATGGTGAACTGTAGAATTTGATCCCTTGCCTTTGATCTTTTTAATCATGTTCCATACCTTGGACATAGGGGTACGAGTGTTTATTTTGGAGACATAGTTTCTCCAGGACAGACGTTTATTTTGCTTAAATAGACGTCTTGCCTTAGCATTTGAAATTTTGACAGTGTTTAAATTATGGACAGTGGGATGTTTACGGAAGTATTTCTCCGCCTTCTTACGACATTTCCTAGCTTGTTTGCAATTAGCATCAAACCATGGTTTACGAACACGTGGGTTGACAGAGGACTTAGGTATGGATTCATTAGCAATTTCATTCAGTTGATCTGAAAACAACTGAATTGGGTCAGTAACATTCTGAAAAGAAGTAGGTTGTAATTTATCTTTGCATAAAGATTGAAATAAAAGCCAATCAGCCTTCACAAAATTCCATCGAGGTGAAGGTGGATCAACAGCGGGATTAATGGGCTTAAGCACCGTGGGGAAATGGTCACTCCCACATAGGTCATCATGGACGGACCATGAGAATTCATTTAACAAAACTGAATCCGTCAAAGACAGATCTAATGATGAATACGTACCAGTTGCAGGGTGTAAGTAAGTGTCGGAGTCATCATTAAAGATGCAAAGGTCATTATCAGAAACAAAATCCTCAATCACTTTTCCCTTTTGATTAATGGTGGAACTTCCCCATAAAGGATTATGCCCATTTAGATCACCCATGATGACACAGGGCTTTGGGAGCTGGTCGTATAGTTTTTGTAGATCATTACGCTGAAGATTTGAAGATGGAGGAATGTATAAGGAGCAAAGTGTGAAGGCAATATGCAGTGTTAGTCTAACTGCAACTGCTTGCAGAGTCGAGTCAAGCGGAACAGGACTGTGAACAACGCCCCGCCGCACTAAAATAGAAGCACCTCCAGTAGCTTTATCTCCTGGAGGAGAGAAGGAATGATATGAACTATAGTGCTTTAAATCAAACTTATCTGTATTTTTAAGGTACGTCTCTTGTAAAGAAATTGCTGATGTATTTAAATCACTTGTTAATAACTGCAGTTCATGAAAATTATGCCTAAGCCCTCTGCAATTCCATTGCATTATATTAGACAATTGAGTCATGGTGGCTCAATTGGAGATCGCTCGCGTGAATGTGAGGAGGAACTACTCCTCCGCCTGTCCTGTGAGGACAGAGTAACCTCCATGTCCAGAGGCCCAAAAGAGTTCTGTAAAGGAACCTCTGAAGGTGAAGGGACGATTGGTAGTTGTTTTTTCTTTAATTTCTTTTTTTCTTTATTTGACAATTTGACAATGACTGGTTGATTGACTGATGTTTGAGATTGATTCTCAGCCTGAATCTCAGTCTGAGAGCCTGAACTAGATAGACTGATGGTAGGAATATCCTGACTGATGTGAACTGTCGCAGCTGGTTGGTCTGACTTGACCCATGTCAAGTCAGTCTGACACGAAATAGTTGAAGACGCAACAGAGCGAGTGACTGCAGCGGAGTAGGAAATAGTAGAGGGAGTAGTGGTCTGATTTTTGAATATTTTTTTTGCATCCAAGTAGGATATGTTTCGTTCGCATTTCAGTTTCATAATTTGTGATTCCATTTGCCACACAGGGCATGATTTGGAGGAAGCAACATGTGGTCCAGAACAGTTAGCGCACTTCAAATCCTTCTCACAGTCAGTGCTATCATGGCTGTCACCACACCGATGACATGCCACAGAGCTATGACAGGACTTTGATCCATGACCAAAACGTTGACACTTGTAGCATCGGAGCGGATTGGGGACATACACATCCACTCCGATACTGAAATACCCTGCTTTTATAGACTGCGGGAGGGTTGTACGGGCAAACGTCAGAAGATACGTATTTGTGTTTGTGATGACACCGTCCTTCTTGAATGTGAAGCGTCTAACTGCAGTTACAGCCTGGTCTCCTAACTCTGTAGTGATTTCGTCTTCAGACATGTCGGACAGACAACGAGCCCTGTCACGAACAATGCCTCGACAAGAATTTAATGTTCTGTGCTCAGACACAGCAACCTCAATATTTGCAAATGTAGAGATAGATAAAAGATTGAGAGATTGCTGTCTCCGAGCACACTCCACCAGAAGCGAACCACTACGGAGACGGGTAACGTTCTTCACCTCACCGCAAATCCCAGAAACAGCCTTAGAAATAGCAAAAGGATTGAGTTTGATGGGAAGGTTATCAGCAGCCTCAATAACCAGGAATCTAGCCCAGGTATCAATATTTTGAGCAATACTTCCAGGTGAAATATCGATTTCTTCTAATCTTCGCTTTTTTTCATTTCGAGATGAACCAGATTGTTGTTGAGCCATGATGAAAGAAAATTATTCAGCACCCCTGCTCCCCACCCGCCACCGAGTGTCACCAGGGACAGTGTTATGTTGCATCGGATATCCAGGATGCAAACACCAGGGATACAGGGATGTTATACTCCAGAGAATATGACGCGAACAGCTGTATTTGTTTACCAACTCAATGCCAGACTGGTTCGGCCCATGACAAGAAATTGAAAACATACATTATTCGGAGGTCAACATCACCAGATTGGCCCATGAGCCACCGCCTTCTGGCGTAAGACTCTAGGCAAGTAATTCAATTCACACAAGTTATGGATGACCAAGACCAAAATATACATTACAATACAACACAGGTGTGCATAGACAATATTACGCACAGGGCCTGGCATGACCAGCCGATTGATAAGACCGGGCCCATCTTACCACCCGTCTAGGCGAAGTAAGGGTCGAAGTAGTGTGTTGGGCAAAGGAACACAGTTCCAGGAACCAATGCCCTCAACTACCAGACTCCCGTCCTCCGCCGACACAGGGACGCAACCCACGGCAAACAGGTTGCCCATTTTAGTCGCCTCATACGACCAGCAATGGGAGGCTGTGGAAATATTCTGCCCCGGTTCCACACGGGGGAAGAGCGATTAGCGTTACCCAGCACTCACCACGAGGAGGTTGCTCTTCACGAGTGCCTAGTGAGTGAGTGAGTGAGTGAGTGAGTGAGAGATTGAGTTGGGTTTTACGCCGCTCTCAGCAATATTACAGCAATATCCTTGCACATAGTTCAGCTTACCGTCATACACAGCTATGTAATCGTATGAACAGTTAGCTCCACCCTGTAGCTCCATCAGTTTAATTGTCAACTTGATATTTTTCTCCGATGTAGTCATGTTCCACTGACAGTCTTCATTGCTGAGGGAGAACATTTCATGAGATCAGTTTTATACTTTGTAATATCAATATCTCAAACAGCAGCCAGAAAGATGATTTGAAATATAATAACTGCGAAATGACTTGAAAAACTGCACAATTTCATTTTTTATTATATATTTTTAAAAACTTGATATTTTGACAATCAAATAAAAGCGTCGTTTAGTATTGATAATAACGACAAAACAATGTTAGTTGCAAATCGAAGACTTACTTCTGATACTGATATGGATAGTTGGGTGATCTGAGATAGCTTGTTGTCGTGGTAGCTGTCAGCTGATTTCCGCAAGAGTAGGGCACTGAAACATTTCATTTGTGTATAATGTGTAATGACGGAAAATGTAGATGGTAAAGTATGTATTGAACAAATTATGTTAGGGATCATGAATATTTTGTGGGATATTTTTTATGAATTTGTCTTCACTTAAAAGCCCCAACATTACTGATGATCTTTTTTTGTTCAGCACCATAAAACAGCAGTACCAAACGTACCAGTGACCATATAAATGAATTGAAAACAGAATTTCGAAATCTATAACAGATCATGGCAATTTGATGATATCAGAATGAGCATTGAATTAATAGAGCCAGTCCCATATCGAATTGTATATCTCTTTCAAATTGCTGTACTTCTGTAACGCGGAAAAAGAGTAAGCAATATTTTACCATGACGTATGAAAACAACACAAATTGGGTTGAAATTATTTGATAATAAACAAGTTTTTAAACGTTATAATTTTTTAAGGTCGATGGAGATCATCTTCAGCAACTCTAAAACCAAACCTTCCAAGATATTTTTTTCTATTCGAGTGCTTTTGAAATATGTGTCATTACATGTATTATAATAGTTAACATTTTGGTGATAGTAATGTTTGCCTGTGTATATATAATGCTTCGGAGTTCGGCAAGGAGCTCCACTGACTGCTATTTATTCTATGTTAAACAAGTGTGCAGCATGGTTAATGTAATATACATATGGTATTTGCTGAAGTGTTCAGCATGGTTAATGTGATGTACATATGGTATTTGCTGAAGTGTACAGCAAGGTTAATGTGATATACATATGGTATTTGCTGAAGTGTACAGCATGGTTAATGTGATGTACATATGGTATTTGCTGAAGTGTACAGCATGGTTAATGTGATATACATATGGTATTTGCTGAAGTGTACAGCTTGGTTAATGTGATGTACATATGGTATTTGCTGAAGCGTACAGCAGGGTTAATGTGATGTACATATGGTATTTACTGAAGTGTACAGCATGGTTCATGTGATATACATATGGTATTTACTGAAGAGTACAGATGCAATTACTGTACATATAATTTGAATGTACCTGTCGTGGCAGAGTACGTCAGGTTAAAGCCTTTATATCTTGATGAACCATCTGCTATGAATCTGAGGTTTACTTGATTTCCTGTGGTCTGAAATTCAGGTCTTTGTTGAGAACACCACACTGTCAACAATTTCCCACCTTGTTCAAGGAAAAAAAAGAAACCAATTAAATAAGATTCATTGTTGTAATAAATCATGCTGTCGAGAGTAGAAAGCTATTAAACTTGTGGGTGGGGCACGGGCGGCCCAGTTCTTGGAGGCACCGCCCAGGTGATTGGTTTGCCAGCATCATACAGTATCAAAGTGATAAGGACACCTGTTTAAAGCCGACACAACAGAAATAATTTTCACAAAGGCGTTAAACCCGATTCAAGCATGCACGCACGTGTATTGCCACTGCATTATCGCTTACGACAATACATACATCGTATATGCCATGCTACAATATCAAAAGTTGGCCTCGTTTCCAAGCTGAAATACCTGAAAGTTAACGTTTCAATGAAATACTTACGAAATGCTTTAAATAACATGAGCACTTAAAAAGTCTACAAAATTGAAGGTTTTAATTATGACCTCAAGCAAAATAACCCAAAAGTAACCCAAAAGTAACCCAAAAGTAACCCTAAAGTTTATTGCATATAATCCATGCCAACTCGTAGTGGTGTATTTTATCTTTTGCGCTACTATTTAAATAGTTCATATACCCCTGATAGTCACCAAATTTATTAATTAATCAGTTTGTCATGATCCTACCGTCATACACTTCGACGTAATCCTCGTCACAGAATGGTCCCGCTGAAAGGCTAGAATCTGTAACCTTGACGTGGATCATGGTGTTGGATGGCCCGGTGATGAAGTAGGAACAGTTTGCTTTCCTGTCATATGACCAGACAAATATCAATGCCAGTAAGCAGAGACAAGACATATACAGGTTGGTTGGTTGGTTTGTTGTTTAACGCCGACCGCAGCAATATTCCAGCTGTATGACGGCGGTCTGTAAATAATCGAGTCTGGACCAGACAACCCAGTGATTAATATCATGAGCATCGATCCACGCAATTGGGATCGATGACATGATCAACCAAGTCAGCGAGCCTGACCACCCGATCCCGTTAGTCGCCTCATACGACAAGCATAGTCACCTTTTACGGAAAGCATGGGTTGCTGAAGACCTATTCTACCCCTGAATCTTCACGGGTCAAGATATACAGTGGACAGTGAAAGCCCAATAGCAATAGCGAAATACCATACACTATTATGCAAACGAATTATATGCTTATAGTGTAAAGACAGAAAGCTGCGCCGAACACCTGGTGTCATCACGGATGTTCAAAGATCTGTTCATATAATGTTCACCGCTGTTTTCCCCTTAACACACAGAAGAATCTGTTTCGTCAGAAAATCGAGACTGATTATTCGCTAACGTTGCCTTTTATATTAATGATATTTTAGTTATGACAATACAATGACGAAGTAAATCAATTATGTTGAAATGAAACCTGGGGATATGACGAGTACCCGTTATAACCCTCGGCTAACCTGGCGATATGACAAGTACCCGTTACAACCCTCTGGTTAACCTGGTGATAAGAAACGTACCCGTTACAACCCTCGGGGTAACCTGGTGATACGAAACGTACCCGTTATAACCCTCGGGGTAACCTGGTGATATGAAATGTTCCCGTTACAACCCTCGGGTAACCTGGTGATACGAAACATACCCGTTATAACTCTCGGGGTAACTAGGTGATAAGAAACGTACCCGTTATAACCCTCGGGGTAACCAGGTGATATGAGTGAATGGTTGGTCAATGTAGTTCCTATGGTGTAACTTCCGTTCCCACATGGAAGAGCTGGTGGCGGCGGCTTAGTGGGCGCTGCAGGTAGAACAATCTCAACTGTATATGCGACAGCGTGAAACAAACTGGGCCAATACAAACGTGCTTCTCATCGGAAAATGACCAGGTCCCATTAGTTCGTCATATGGCACAAAACTCGTTAGCAACCAATTCGGCGTAACTTAGGAAAAGATAAGTTTTGTAACTACTCCGTTACAGTTCTAGCAATATTGAAAATAATTAAACTGATATCAAAACCGGATTTTCTTTCGGAGAAAGCTAAACTCATAACTCGGCCTTAACGATTGTTCAAATGACATGGGTTTTTTCAGTTTTCATGCTCTTAAAACTGTGATGAACAATTTCAGGAAATAATCATCTTTTCGCTGCACATGTATGTATTTTATGGTTGTGAGCAGTTGCCTAAATGTATAACAGTAAACACAGCCTTACCAGTTCCAGAGAAGGCATGATAGCGTAACTTGAAACCACGTCTCACGACAGCAGTGTTGGTTTTAAACTTCAGCGTCATTATATTTGAATTTGTTGCAAATAATGTTGTATTACTTGTGTTACCACAGAACTTTCCAAGTTTGTAACCGTCCGGAGGTTGACCTGGACAAACAAACAAATATCAGAAGGTGAGAAACAAATTATAAACCGTCAAGTTGTGATCAGAGTGATATGACATTTTTTGCTTCGAATATAGTGATGCCAAGAATTGCAAGGGAAATTCAGTTCGTTATATGCAATGTCGTCGTATGTGCGAACGCTCTGTGGACCGGGCGCCGAGTAACGAACCGTCACGAACCACTCCTAGATAATTATATTCCGCCTCCGTGGTGTAGTTCATTGAGCATCTGCGCGGAAGGGCGGTGGTTCAGGATGGTACTTGCTGTTACTGATCGGCTTTGAGTCAGTGTAATATTTCTGACTTGTGTATTCATGTTATATCTGAGGCATGGTATCTCAGTGAGCAAGGGGCACAGAACTGGCATTAGTCCAGAATAGTGCAAGAAGTCACACACACGTGCATGCGTGTCGCTACAAAAGTGACACAATATTGAAAACCCTGTTTCCCATCGCCTACAAAATTATATTGTTCGTTACACTGAGAAAGTTGAGATCAACAGCATATCAGTTATATCAAGACGTGTCAGCTTGGTGAGGGACGTTGCGGGTAAGAATACAGGTCCCCATCCACATCAAAAGGTCCTGAGCCTAACACACAGAACCAACAATTGTGACATGCGGTCATGAATTTCTTAGGGAGTACTTTTCTCTGAGGTCAAAAACTTGACTGCTCGGTGCTCGTCCTTTTCCATTTCTGTGTCCATTTAGACCCCTATCACGTTCAGCTGGCTGTCACTAATATACAAACGGCCTCAACAGACCATATACACGTGCAATGAACTACTAAACAATGCACTACATTGACTATCGCTTTGTTATGGCTTTGTTGAAAGTGTTAGTCAGGCTTAGAACATTTTGACCATCCCTCGTATGCTGCCGGAAAGAGGCGTCATAATGGACTTGGTGTGGATCATTGCTCATACTCTCAGTCACTTGATTGTATGGTCCAGACTCAATTATTTACAAGCGGCAACATAACTGGAATGTTACGGCGTTAAACAACAAACAATACCAATGATGTACAATGCATGACTCAAGAGTACACGTATCGGCTGACATAGCAAAAATTATAATTAGGGCGAATCTGCTATTCGATTGCATAGTCACAGGATTCTTACACCCCAACTCTGCGTGGCCAATTGCGGCGTCTTGGACAGCTGGGCAATCAATGTCCCCAATGTTTGTTATAACTGAGTATTCGCTATACATGACTTCGTTATAAGAGGTATTGTTTGTGTGTGATGCAACGGTTATTTATATACTATGATAATAATAATAAGTCCTTTTTGATAAATGCAATGAAATCATTTATATCATTGGATTTTCTGTCCCTTTTGACACTAACGTGATTGACAAGATTGAGAAAAAACATGGCATATATGCGGACCTCGCTTTCAAAATGTCACGCTTGCATCCCAAGTACCAAGTTGGCCGACTCCCCATTGTTCTCGGTGCCTTAGGTTTGGTACCTCCCAATCTGTTAATTGACATTGGGAGAGTACCCGGGTTTGCTACTAGGAACACAGCCCTTCTGACAATCTTGGTAATGAAATAGGCTGCAGTGTTGGGGATTTTTACATTCTCCGACATGTTCTGGGTGGGTTTGACTAGGCAGCGCTTCCTGGGAGAAGTCCCATTCGCTGTTTGGGCTGCGTGTGCAGGGGGCAAGGGCCCTGAGCTGATGATGAGCCTAACAAGCCTGACTGTGCCAGGATCACCCAAACCGTCTTTGCTTCATTTTTTATTTTAATCTGTACATAATAATAATAATGATAATGATAATGATAATAATAATAATAATAATGATTTAATGTTTACTAGGCCATTGGATCAGCGCGCACTTATTCACATCTCACATGCATTTGGTATCCGTTCTTTCAAAATGAGAACCAACACAGTACCAATTTACCAGTCCTTTATTTATCAGGTCAGCTCATCTGGTGTCCAAGCGTCATTACCGAAGACAACATCTCCTGGACTCAGAATACCAGTGGAACAATGCATGACTTGTGCTTACCTGAGTAGACAGTAACAACGTCATGTCCACAAGCAGGGTAAGGACCTTCTACATCTGATGACACAACATCCAGTTCAATTTTGTTTTGAAGAGAGATGATAGTCCAGACGCAGTCAAGGTTGCTGCAACAGCGTTAAAATCGATCAGCTTTCAGGAATAAGGTAGCGTACTCGATATAAGGTAAACTTTTACGGGTTTTACGAAGAACAAAGTACATTCATTGGGCAATGGTTTTAGCTTTTATAGTTGCTTTGGCTGTTTTCGTTTTGTTTTCTTTGATATTAAGAGGCAAGCAGCATTACACACAATCGGCTGGAAGAATATTATGAGGAACTGTTGACCAACTCGTCTGAAGCACCGCAACACGCTATGCAGAATTGTATCCTTAATGCGTCCCAGAAACCTATGGGTTAAAACCTGATGCGACCTGATTACGTGTGTAGTTTTGTCAGTACCGTATCGTTCCCGTGGATTACACCAAAGCGGCATTAAACCAAACTCACTCACTTGCCGTACCAGTCTCGTGATTAATTCAAATTTCATAAAGACAATTTCAAAGTCATTCATCAGGAAATACAATCATAAAAAAGAATTTAGGGGATCAGTTTAGCATAGCGTGTATAAACATGGAACGATTTCGTACTTGTAATATGCATTCGGGTAGCCAGGTGAAACAATGTAATTGGGAGGTGTTTCATCAGCTTGAAGGATAACAGAGCAGCTAGAACCTGAAAGATATGATTGATAATAAACATTGTCTTTTCGGGATGTCATGCAGTAATCATATTAACATTATTATACAATAGTTTTGTTTCAAAATCTTGCGGATTCTCATGGCCATGTGATCTTAGATGCATCACATCGCCACGGAAAGTGACACTCAGGAGAAGTTAAGACACAGCACGAAAAGTAAGATTTTGTTTGCTTGAAACCTTCCGCCTCCCCTCCGGGTTCTTCAACCAATATTCAAAATGTTCTGATATTATTTGTAAGTCTTTCTCACTTAAATTAACTAAATGTGCTACCAAGTGTTTAGAAGTTTGAAAGTATCGGGACCCGGAAACGCTCCGAATCTAATATGGGAAGGCACTCAGGAAGTTTTACATTTTTCATGCTGTAGGTTCCAGTGTTTACATTACGGTATATTATACACGATTACATCGTAAATTAAAATAAGTCGTTTATATTATAAGCCAGATGATGTTATAAGTAGTAAGTAGAGCGTGTGGTTGCTTACTTGGGACGGATTTGTAAGTCAGTTTAAAGCCCTTCATTACAAAGAAATTGTCGGTTTCAAAAACAATAAGCGCTTTGTTTAAACCGGTCTGGTATATAGGTGTGTTGTCATTACAAAAGGCGCCCAATAGGTTGGATGCTGAAAAGTAGAAGAAATTATTATGAAATTTCAAACAAATGTTATAAATATGCATGAACATGAAAAACAATGAATGCATACAATAATAGATTGGATTTGACATATGAACACAAAACATAAATCAAAATATTAAGTTAATGTTAAGTACATCTTACCATAACGATACAATGTCTGTCCAGAAACGGAAACCGGATGTCCGTTCAAATAAAACAATTTGTTCTGAATATCATCCTAAAATCAGGAGTTCAGGTTATAAGGGGTCCGGATTAGTTGAATTTCACTGTAATACGGAGTGACTGCTCAATGTCGCTCTGGTGTGGTGGACTAACACGTATTCGCCCGTCACGTGGATCGATTCTACTCGGGTACAATGTGTGAAACTCATTTCAAGTGTCCCTAGCCGTGATATTGCCCGAATATTGATAAAAGCGGCATAAAACCACACCCACTTATGTCAGTCTTTATGGACCTGGAGATTTCGAACCAGCGACCAGCGGATCCTAGATCATACACAACTACAAAGAGTTGTGGCGTGTTTGACGAATGGGCTTTCAAGACCTCCAAGTGCATCATCTTCCCGAGGCAAGAGAGTTAACTGACTATAAAAGTCCAGTTTCCACCCTTGCCGAACTAGGCTCGTATTATGGAGTTACATTTTGGCTGGACTAACGAGTCTGTGCATAGTCCAATCAAAATCGCGCACCGAAATCGAAATCCGGTTCGTAAACTGTCGTGCAGATTTAGGTCGATTGCAGGATTTGCAAAGCATGTGCACCGCCAACTCGTTTTCAACAGTTATTTTCCAAATCTTTTCATGTTTTTAATCAAGGTGCTCACGTGATTTGATGCATTTCGCGATGTAAGACCCGTTTTATCACAATATAGATCTTGATTATCGATCAGATCGTCCTTACTGGGCGCCACCATTTTGGGTGAAGCAAACGCAAGTGATACGAGAGGTGGAATCTCATTCGTCCATAGGAGACATACACGGTAATAGCCACTGGTGGCGCTACGATCGAGCCGAATAATTCCAGTCTAGTTCGGCAAGGGTGGAAACAGGACTTTTAAAGTCAGTTAACCTTCTTGCTTCGGGAAGATGCAAGTGCATAAGACAGGTTCACATCTTTACGTTCAAAGTATATCCATCCTAGAAGATCCAGGTTACAATTGGTCTTCAGCAACCCTGGCTAGTCGTAAGAGGCACCTTTGCTATGTACAATGTAATTACGGGTTCGTGCAGTCAGACTCGCTCACATGATTGATGCATGTCATCGAATACCAGTTACAAAGATCGAGGATCGCGATGTCAGTCACTGGATGGTCCAGACTAGATTATTTTCAAGCCATCGTCATTTAGCTGGAATACTGCGGAGTGCAGCCGTAAACAACAAACTAACAAACAAACAAGAATATCATCAATGAGAACATGTTCATACCTGTGGTGTCATTCCCGTTATAAACAGAGACATAATCAGCCGTACACCCAGAGCTTGGTTGAATCTGAGAATCTACCACTTTGATAATGATCGTTTTGTTGGATTCAGCTGTAATTGTCCATTTACAATGAAGGTTACTGAATAAGGAAAGATGAAAAACAGTTAAGGTAATCAAGAAGGGCATTTATACAGTATAGTATCACATATATGTGAAAAACGTCAACCTCAGAGAATCTGCCGAGAGAGATTGTACCTAAAAGGCCAATTAGCTGTGAGAATAATATGATTAATTTTGGTGTTAGCGAAATAGTGAGCGTGTGAGTGTGTTGGGTTTTACGCCGCTTTTAACAGTATTCCAGTTATATCACGGCGTGTCAGCTTAATGTGGGGGAAAGCCCGAAGTGATGCAGGTCTCAGACGTTTACCACTTCGGTGAAACCCATGAGCACGGGTATATGCAGTATATGCAGTAAACGATATCAATCGTACAACGATGTGCACACAAAACCACTGACATCAGGGTTGCTTCATGCCGTTTAAATGCGTGGTGGGATACCATATCCCTCAAACTAATGTACATCTCAAATGAGTGAGTGAGTGAGTGAGTGATTTGGGTTTAACGCCGCTTTTAACAGTATTCAAGATATATCACGGCGTGTCAGCTTAATGTGTGAGGAAAGCCCGAAATGATGCAGGTCTTAGACGTTTACCACTTCGGTGAAACCCACGAGCACGGGTATGGTGCTGACAAACCTAGAAACATTCGGGTCGAACCGGGATTCGAACCCACAATCGTAGGTTTCTGGCGTGCCCAAGGGACGCAACTCTGCACAGCGAATTGCGTAGACTTCCCTTTTATGTCAACGATTTAAACCAATTAAACAAATACATAGTATATAAACTGCCGGGCTAAAGTAAGTATACATATAAATATTTGATTTGACTAAAACATTATATACGTGATCAAAACGTTACTAGGCTGCAAACAGTTGCCGAAACACTGCAATCTCACATGTAATGTCCAAAACACATCTATGACACCAGTATCAAACACATCACCGACAAAGTACCATTTCTACTTTGTTTAATGTTTCACCACCACTACATGGGTGTATACTTTCTTTTCCCCGGCAGGTCAGAATTTTGTTGATTCAAACCTGAAATATTGGAGAGGGTAAAATGGCGACTGCAGCGTTTGCGCAGCCGACGAAGCAGTAAGATTCCCAGTGCATTCTGCAATGTAAACATATATATTATAAACCCAATATGGTAAAGAACTAGGATTGATTTATGGATTTATAGAGGTTAAGGAACTTAATTACATGATCCCCTATGATACATCCTCATGAAAGGGACCGCCTCCGTGGTGCAGTGGTAGAGCGTCCGGCCAGAGACCGGAAGGTCCGAGGTTCGCTCACCGGCCTCGTCATACAATAGGGCGTGAAAAGATGCTACTTGTTGTTACCCCGCCTGGCCCCCGGGGCATTAAGGGGCTAAAACAAGGACTGGTCGGCTCGTAGTCAGAATACTATGTCTGAGTGGGGTATTCAAGTTCAACGACGGCATGGTATCTCAGAGATCTAGCACTATAAATCGGCATCAGTCCTTACTAGTACAAGCGCACACACACACGCACACGCACACACACACACACACACACACACACACACACAGACACACACACGTCGCTTTTCTCTTTCTTCAGTAAAAGATACAAGTCCAGCAAAGGATAGAAGACCACAGGAACTTTCATCTGCGTTCCAGCGCAATATCAGACCTTAAAGTATTGGATATTAATAAACCCAATTGTTTTGAAAGTACAGACAGTAAACCTGACCATATCTTCTCATAGTGAATGATGTTGTTTTTTCCTACCTTGCATTAAGATACTCGTTTTTGATTGGTTACCGAATTAGCAATGTTTTCTCAAGTACCCGCTGATTGCGAAAATGCACGTTCGTATATCCCGCTTAGCACTGCCGAACTTCTTACCAATGAGAATACAATGATAAAAAATATATTATCTCAATACTGAACATCTTTAACATGCAGTGTATCGAACTTAATCGATGACATCCGATTCTTATGCTTAGGCGATGTGTTTACGTCCGACTCGACTGCAAGCTATCGAGGTGTCCATGAAACGGTTACAAGCCATACTGATAAAGAGATAACGGGTGAAAATTATGCACTATAATTTATTGTCAACCGGTCCCTGGGTCCCTGTTGTGAGATGTACCATCCGGTGTGGGGTACACAGGCGCACACACACCCTACACGAGACCGGTCGACAACTAATACCGTCACATGATGCTGTCCCCGGTATGGTGACCTACCATTTGGTTGCTGGTGATATATAGCCCAATTTTACGTTGTATTGTAATGTATTGTATTATATGAATTTGTAGTTTTATGATCACTCACTAGTTTTAAACCGACATCTGTGATAATCTAGTACTTTTACTGTCCTTTGTCGACAGGTTTCTATTCTCAATTGATGTATTGTCTAATTTGTTATAGTCACTATATGGCTGAAATATTGCCGATGTGACTTTAAATATTAACTCACTCACTCACTCACTCACATGATGCTGTCATAAATATCAATGATACATGTATGCATAGCCTTAATACACAAACATGAATGCAGACAGGTGCATGTCTCACACATTAAATGAAAGTGATGATAATTAGAATAGAACTACTTTTAGTGGAATTATCGTTCAAACAAATTGACAAAAAATGTATTTTGTGATGCGAGATTTGTTTCATCTGTAAACCCTTGCATACGATTACATGGGATGTTCAAAGACATAGACATAGACCCCACTAGAGATGGGGTTCGTTTCCGGGGCGTAATTCGAAAACCATTCAGTATATTTGATCGAAACTTGAAAGATGTATAGGCCACATGCTGAAGTGGCGCCTTTTGCTATTTTGTAATTTTTAAAATTATTTTATAATTTTGCTATTTAGGAATGTTTCAAAATTTCATTTTTCCGTGTCTCCATGGACACAAGCAAGACTTTGCTGAAATGGAGGTAGGTGTCGTTTCTGGAGCAGCACCAAAAAACTGTTCAACAGTGTTGAATCAAACTTGGAACATGTATTATTCAGGGGTTGATGTCGTGCCTTTTGCTTTTTAGGAATTTAGATGTTTCTCCCCTGTTTCCATGGCAAAAAGTTTGTCTTTGACTGTTCATGTTGGTGTGTACCTGACATAGAAATACAAAGTTCCGAATCCCAATTCCATGGTATTGTTTTGATAGCTCAATAACTACTCTTATATACTGACAGACAGATCAGATAGATCTCAAATTTTAAATCTCAAATTTCAAATTTGTACTGACCAAGTTTCTTATCACCCGTTCGTTTACCGGAATTCGCTGAAGGGGTAAGGTGTAATTTTTGTCTGCGCATAATATTCTTTTCTTTTTTTCAAAACTACTGAATCGGCTAGAGGGGGTGCGCATTATTTTCGGTGCGCACTATACTCAAGAAAATACGGTACGTACGTACTTGGCATTTCAGTTACGACAAGTCGGAATCCGTGTCCGTGGCCTGCTGTTCCCGTCTGGAACCTAACGAACAGGCTGTCTCCAGTACTTGCTATGGAGTCTTTGCTATGTCCACAATATATGTTGATGACTGGGGCCGTCCAGTTCGCTCCTAAGAGATATGTGTTAATTGTTAATTGTTCAAACAATGTGTTCATCGTTGATGACATGGGTACCGAAGTAACATTATTTCAAATATGAGTATAGTTTTTCCTTAAATTGAATCTCTATAAATGTATGGCGATCTGATGATGGTATATACCTTAAAGTTATAGAGTGTAATATGGGCATTGGTATTGAGTTGTTTGGAAACGAGATGATAGATATATACCATATTGTCCTAGCCGAAAAGCGTGTTATTGTGCAGCTTAGTGATCTGATGATTGATATATACCTTACCATCATAGACTGTGAGACGTGCCATGGAACAATTTGTTGACCTGACAATTGACATATCAGCTATTCCCACAATGACCATATTGCCTGGATCCCGGGCTCGGAATATCCACCCACAGTCTAGGTTACTGTAAAACGCAATAACTAGGCATACACCCACGTTGAAAACGTCAAGCTCTACCCCTTCTTTATTGTCATATATCCTGATACTGCCATGTTCCATTTGGAAATATCTCACATTGATCTCATTTTGGTGAATGTATAAGACATCACTGCCACCTGCTCAAGTGTAGGACAAGATCTAGAACACTGCATCTACGGCCCAATGGCTACACGTAACATGTCAGACTATACCTGGTTATAAAAAGCAGAGGGTGCAAATGAAAGAGTAGTCGTATGACTATTGTCCTGGAACAGTTACAAAACATATACACAATCGATTTTGGTTTCTATATTTCAACATGAGTATGTCTCTTTGTAAAGAAAAACAAACAAGATGCAGTTCTTAAAAATGACCACCTTTATGGAAAAATAAAAGTGATGCTTAATTATTGTCAAGGTGTTACATTGTTTTCGAATGCCATATTCTTGACACGCAACTATATGCACTCGAAAGTGTGAAGAGCGGTTACATCGTAAGCCAACATGAAGATCTGAGCAGCTCTTAAAAAGCTTCAGCAAACCTTACATGGCTTATATCTACACCGCACGCCATTATGATCACTGTAACGCTAATTCTACCATGAATTTGGAATTTACTCGATTCTGATTGGTCAATCAGAGGCTATTAAATCACAATAAACCCCCTCTGATTGAAACAGCTGGTTTGACGGGCGCATCACCCCGGAAGCTAATATTCATAGAATAGTACTATTTTCATTCATTGTCGGTAGGCATATTTAAATAACTATATCTACAATTACAGGTTACAAAATGCACAGATGCGGTTACTACGATATTCAAAGGATGTGTTGCAATACATTTCGTGCAGAAAAACACGACAGAAATCAACAAAGGGAATGTATTTACGTTTTGGAGACAACAGGAAGATTGGCATTTTGGCGCTTTTCTAGATACGACTGTGACGTCATATCTTTTGCGTCAAAATGAGCGATACGACGCCATGATGGTGACGTGCGATGTAGAGCGAAAGCCTTGCAAAGCTTGCTTTGTTTTCTTTAGGGATGCCCACCTCATGTTAGCTTACCAAGTTGCCGTGCGTATATGCTTTCAATGCCTGTCATATGTTCGAGTGAAGTATTACGGTGTAAACTAACTGCTTGAGTATATACAGCACCATATTTTGCTCGGTGATTCCGTAATTCAGATCGATAACCCACTCAAAACACTGGACTCAACCCATGCCGCTTCACTCAGTATATTTGCTCACACCAAAGAGTTCGCGTTTTATTTAGTCATGGTAGAATGGAGATAAACATACTGTGTTTTCAATATAGAGCTAGGTTACCTGTAGATTTATCCGCGCTAAATTTAACATTTGAAACCTCACGCTGCGCGTTCGGTTCCAAATTCAATTTAGCGGGGTTAAATCAACAGGTAACCTAGCTCTACATTGAAAACACAGTATGTTTATCTCCTAAATATATGACATCACAGTTTAATATAGAAAAGTGCCAAATTTCAACTTACTGTTGTCCCTGACATTTGATAGCCGACTTCAATCATGTTTTCTCCCTAAATTGTTTTACCATACATTATGTGAAGATTGTAGCAAACCAAACTCTGCATTATGCAACCAATAATTGTACATTATTTCAAAATACCTGCCGGAAATGATGGAGAAAAAAGTGTTGTTAATTTTAAATATTAGCATCCATGGTGGTGCGGCTGTTTCCAGCAGGGGTGGTTATTGTGATTTTGATGCCCCTGGATCCTGATGATCAGTGAGAACTGAATATTTTCAACATCCATGGTAGAATGTATATTCATTGAATAAAGGTACAACGATCAGTTCAGGGCGACGTTAACAATATCAAGGATGATACCTACTTTGGAAACTGGTCAGGGTAGTTAGGGGACGTTATGTTGACAAAGTCAGGCGTGACAACGACTACACTGTTGTTGCAGGCAGCTGTAACAAACACAAGTACAATGCAAATGACAGAGATCGGAGCATGTGCTCATATTAAGTTTCTAAATTCATTGTGACTGTGGTTACTCGAGCTTTGGTGAAACGTCCCGCCCAGTAAACCCCGCATCAAAGGACGCAAGACTTCAACAACCAAGGCAGACAGCAAATCAGCCCTCCTAGACCATCAGCCAAAACATTCCTAGCCATCAAATTCAGTTTGTCAAAGTCCAAATCCTCTCACTAAAACATTCGGACTTCACCAAAAGACAACTCGCCGAAGCTAAGGAAATCCGCCGGCACAAACCTGGTACGAGGACTGGTGAAAATGTTCTAAGCCGACTAACTTTCAACTACGGGCCATAACAAAGTGAACTTGTCAATGAAGTAAATTGTTTGAGTAGTTCATTGCAAGTATATTTGTTCTGTTTAGGCCGTTTGTATATAAGTGACAGCCTGTTGAATGTGATAAGGTCCAAATGGACACAGAAATGGAAAAACGAATACCGAGCAGTCATCAAGTATTTGACTTTAGAGAAAGGTACTCCCCAAAAAATTTATGACCGCATGTCATAAGTGTATGAGGATATGTGCCCAAGGTATACCACTGTTAAACGTTTGGCAGCTATGTGTAAGGCTGGGAGAACAAGTCCTGATGATGACCCTAGGTTTGGATATCCCTCAACTTCCATCAGTGAAGGTTTAACCAAGGAGATAGGACAACTTATACTGTCAGATAGACGTATTACCATTGCTGCACTATTGAGGAAGACACAGGTCCAAGCCATGGATTCATTCAAAATATTATTCATGAGCATTTACAGATGAATAAAGCACCTGCTCGTTGGCTGTCAACAGTTCTAAGTTCTGATCTAAAGGAAAAAGGAACTGACTTTTCCAAAGAAAAGTTAGAGCTTATTGCGAGGGATTTCGTCAATTTTAAAAAAAGAGATTAATAACGGTTGATAAAACATGGGTCCACCACCATGATCCCGAGTCAAAACGTCAAACCATGAAATGGCACCTCTCCACTTCTCCGGCACCAAAGAAATTCAAGAAAAGTGAAGAAAGTTATGACCACTGTATCAGGGGGTGGAAAGGGTGTGATACTTGTTGATTACGTTGAAAGTAAGAATCTACATTGAAACGTCGCTAAGTTGTTATCCATAAAGTTGTACGTTTTTCTACATCAGGTGTTAATTGGTCACAATGGACTTAATTGGCTGTCTTTGCATCTCGTCCACGTCTTCATTATTACTTTATTCTTGTTTAGTGACACTCCAGATCATTGGAGCACGATTATACACTGCTGGATAAAGCCGTTTCATATCCAACCATTCACTCAATGATGCACTGATCACTGTTAGTTTCATGTACTAAGTGACATTGAAAACATTCATCACTTACCAAATGCCCCAGAAAGTGGCGAGAGTGTAAACAGCACAGAGGACAGTAACAACACGTTGACCGCCTCCATGTCGATATTTGTCAAGATGCGGATACAGTATGCAGCCGTGCTGAAGTTTATCACACGACAGCAGGGTATATGGCGTGAACGCCTCCACTGATACACGATACGGATTGCAACATATCAACCGTTCAAAGGTTAAAGAACACCTACTTTATGCCCTCGTCATATAATATACTAACATTGGCCAAGAATAGCTTTTCTAGGTGGTTTCCAACACCGGTTATAATCAGCTCACTTGTACTAACAAGATAGAATTGTTTATCATATAATGGGTAGGTTTTTCGGCAGGATAAAGCCAACGGATAAAAACGATATCCGTTGGGGTCATATGCGGATAGAGATGCAAATATCAAAGGTCAAGTAGGGACTACTTTCACTGTTTATAAACAAACATGGCGTAGCCCTTGCCATTCGGCGATCGAGTCAGAATTAACCATCGGGAATCTGGATAAACTACAGAGATAATTGCTATCATTATCAAAAGAACAGTCTAATATACTGAAAATCAGTGTCTAACTGTGACGTAGCGAAGGCATTTTATCAGTTTTGGCAACTTTGGAGAAACAATTTTGCGAGGGCACGAGGCCTAGCCAAGCGGGATCAGTAGCCATATCTGTGCTTGTAGACCTCTGCGGCTTGAAACCTTCTCCACAAATTAAAATAGTTGGATTTGGCCGAAATATGTTTGAATTGTTACCTTGTTTCGTTTTGTCGCTGTGTGTACATCTGGCTACACTGCTTAACGTTATGACAGGACAGACCGACTGTCAACAACGTCTGACTGTGGCCGTGACGTCTCGTAGACTAGGTTTAGAGTAGCTTCCCTTGACAAAGGGCAGTTACTCTAGCGGACAGACCGATGGATTGCCGCGAAAGGCAATTAAAAACAATTGTTGTTTTGCGTATATGTTGCTTCGCCACTGTATAAGAAACAGATTTCAGTTGGAACTATATTGGCTACTGTCACTGTCCGACTGACACATCACTTACCCTGTGACGTAATAAATATTAATGCGCGCATTCCAGGAAAACTCGCAATGTTTGGGTAATGTTGGTGAGGGAGGGAAAGCGATTTTCAAGCACAAAATTAAAGAATGACATTATATGATAAAGAGGTTATCACGCTTGTGTGTTTGGGGATGGTAAATATCCTGTATTAGGAATAAACAATATGTATTTAGCTCGCCAAGGCTCGCTAAATACAATGTTTATTCCTAATGCAGCATATTTACCATCGCCAAACACACTCGCGTGATAACCTCTATATCTGGGTCCGCTTGCTGAAAGCGAACATAGCCCTACGGCGGTCGCAACTCCCATACTCTCAGATAGACTTACGTTAGTCATAGTGCTAAAATCTCTTTGTACAAGTGAGCTCTGTACGTGTATGTATGTATGTGCTGGTATAATGCAATACACCTGTTTATAACAATGCCATCCCTTAGTATTCGAAGCCACTGCTGTAGTTGCACACATGTTACTGTTCTAAGTATTTAAATGCGTCGAATCTCCTATCGAGACGATATCTGTAGCAGTAACATTTAGAGGATAACCAACGAGATTCTGGGAATTACGGATTTTCTGTCCCGGGTGAATGAATGATGGCAGCCTCAGCCTCAAGCGAGAATGTTCTGGGTGGTTTTTTGGCTATCACACCGTTTAAAGGGCAAGGAAAGTCAATGTAGCAACTTTGCAGATTTTAATACTTTAGGGCATTATTTATTACAATTGCTTGACCATAATTAAATTTGAAAAACGAAAGCGTAAAACACAAACAGGATCTGGCGTTGTCACGATAAACCATCATAACAAACCTGACAGCGTGTTTCTGAAACTATGTGGTAAACTACAACACTGATGGAAGTAACAACAATGCTTATGATCATGTGGTAATAGATTTCAAAATCTTCACCAATACGTATTGGTTTTATCTCATACAACATTCGGTTCTAAAATAATTACATCAACAATGTTGACTAAAGTTAGACCGGATTTAGAATTGATTTATGCCTGCTGAGGCACTCGTGAAGAGCAACCTCCTCGTGGTGAGTGCTGGGTAACGCAAATCGCTCTTCCCCCGTGTGGAACCGGGGTAGAATATTTCCACAGCACCCCATTGCTGGTCGTAAGAGGCGACCAAAGTGGGCAGCCCGTTTGCCGTGGGTTGCGTCCCTGTGTCGGCGGAGGACGGGAGTCTGGTAGTTGAGGGCACTGGTTCCTGGAACTGTGTTCCTTTGCCCAACACACTACTTCGACCCTTACTTCGCCTAGACGGGTGGTAAGATGGGCCCGGTCTTATCAATCGGCTGGTCATGCCAGGCCCTGTGCGTAATATTGTATATGCACATCTGTGTTGAATTGTAATGTATATTTTGGCCTTGGCCGTCCATAACTTGTGTGTATTATCAATTTTGGATTGAATAATTTGCCTAGAGTCTTACGCCAGAAGGCGGTGGCTCATGGGCCAATCTGGTGATGTTGACCTCTGTATTCTGTATGTCTCCAGTTCCTTGTCATGGATTGAACCTGCCTGGCACTACATCTGGTAGATAAATATAGCTATTCATGTCATATTTGCTGGAGTATCACACCCCTGTAGCCCTGGTGTTTTGCATTTTGGATATCCAATGCATTAAGACACCGTCCTTGTTGACACTCGATGGTGGGTGGGGAGCAGGGGTGCAGAACCACTTTCTCTCATTATGTCTACAAAATACCTTGGTTCAAAAAGAAAACACATAGATGCCAGCTCTTCTGATGAAGAAACTGCTATACAAATAGATTCCTGGGCTCGATTCATTGTAATCGAAGCATCAGATCACCAACCCTTAAAATTAAACCCGTTTGCCATTTCCAAGGCCATCAATGGTTGTTGTTGAAAAGTTGAAAATGTCTCCCGTCTGCGTAATGGCTCCATATTAGTAGAGTGTGCAAGAAGACAACAATCTCTGAACCTGCTCTCACTCAGCCAATTTGCAAATGTAGAGGTTGTTGTTTCGGCTCACAGAACGCTGAACTCGTGTCGGGGAATTGTAAGAGACAGAGCCCGATGTCTATCTGACATGAGCGAAGACGAGATTGTGACTGAACTGTCTACACAAGGTGTAACAGCTGTCAAGCGCTTCACACGAAAACAAGATGAACAAATTATAAAGACTCACACTTATCTGTTTACTTTTTCTCTTTCGAAAATTCCACCATCTATCAAAGCTGGATATTTTAACATCGGAGTGGAGGTTTATGTACCAAACCCACTCCGATGTTACAAATGTCAACATTTTGGGCATGGCGCTAAGACCTGCACTTTCAGTGCTATCTGTGCCCGCTGCAGTGGGTCACATGAGAGTACTGAGTGCACAGCTGCCATAAAATGTGCCAATTGCAAGGGGGACCATCTGGCCTCAGCTAAACTCTGTCCAGCATTTCTTCTCCAGTCCCAAGTGTTAAAAATCAAACACACCAACAATATATCTTTTCATGAAGCTAAAAAATTAGTTCAGTCACAGTCTCAAATTACCTCAGTCAAATCTTATGCTGCCGCAGCAACTATCACTCCTTTTGTCAAAGCAGCCACAGTATCTGTTGGATGCCAAACCACCATCTCTTGGGTTGGTAATCAGCAGATGTTAAATGACTCTCCGGCTCAATCATCTCCAAATACAACAACAACATCAGCATCGCAGACGGAACTAGTTGCATCTTCAAAAACATCACAATCAGAATCATCTCCTATTAATGGCGACATACCTTTAACAAAAACAGAAAAAAAGAAACTGAAAAAAACGGCGAGGGCCCTCCAACACTTGGAGGTGCCTTCTTCTCAGCCTACACCTGTTAAGGTTCAAAATCAATTTGAACCTTTGGCGATGGAGGTCACTCCTTCTCCAACAGGCCATGGGAGTGGACCTCCCTCCCGCTCCAGAACCCCAGTAGAACCACCATGACCTGTTCTAACCCGATAATACAATGGAATTGCAGAGGACTAAAAACAATTTTAATGATTTGCAGCTATTAACACAAGATTTCAAGCCATCAGCCTTTTGTTTGCAGGAAACGTACTTTAAAACTACTGATCAACTAAACATTAGACACTACGACTCCTATCATTTCTTTTCACCTCCAGGGGCTAAAGCCACTGGAGGTTCTTCAATCTTGGTGAGGCAGGGTGTTATTCATAGCCCTGTTCCTCTCAATACCCCTCTACAAGCTACCGCAGTTCGTATCACTATGCACATTGTTTTTACTCTGTGCTCTCTTTACATTCCTCCATCTACATCTCTTCAGCAAACCGATCTTCAAGCTCTCTATGACCAGCTTCCTAAGCCCTGTATTATCATGGGCGATATGAACGGTCATAATCCACTTTGGGGTAGTGATCGTACAAGCTGTAAAGGCAAGCTCTTAGAAGATTTTATTTCCAACAATAATCTATGCCTTTTTAACGATAATTCCAACACATATTTACATCCTGGTACAGGCACATACTCATCTTTGGATTTGTCTATTACCGATTCAAACCTGCTGAATGAATTTGAGTGGTTGGTCCTCGATGACCTCTGTGGAAGTGACCACTTTCCAACCATATTAAACCCTATTACCCCATCTGATGTTCCTCCATCATCTCGATGGAACTTTACAAAAGCCAACTGGCCTCTATATGACATTCTCTGTACAGAAAAACTAACACCTGATCATTTCACTGACGTTCCTGACCCAATACAATGTTTTTCTGATGAACTTATCAATATAGCTGAAAAATGTGTTCCTAAGTCCTCTGGAATTCCCCACATACGTAAACCATGGTTTACCGATGACTGCAAGCAAGCTAGGAAGGCGAGGAAAAAGGCTGAGCGTTATTTCCGTCGCCATACTATGGTCCATAACTTAAACAAATTTAAAATATTAAATGCTAAGGCAAGGCGAACATTTACACAAAGTAAACGCCAATCTTGGCGAAATTATTTGTCAAAAATAAATTCTCGGACGCCCATGTCCAAGGTATGGAAC